TCGAACAACGCAACATCTTATCATAAAGTATTTATTTGATTAGCATATCTGATGCAGATGTTTATGAGTTTTCTAAGGATATCTCAAAACATGGAAACAGGAGAGACATTATCATAAAAAAGCGTTTTTTATGACTTTTTTTTGTCTAATATTTGAGATTCGAGCCCCAAACCACTATTTTTTATTCATTGTAATCTACGAAATCTTCCGTAAAAACTGGTCACCGTATAAAGCATCATTCACTCTTTCAAATGGCATGCCATGAAGAAAACTTTATATTAAACGAAGCGTACAGAGACTTAGAAAAATAACCTGTTGAATAACTTTGACAGGGTGAAAAGGTATACTTCGATTGTTTCATGAATAAAATCTCCATAGAGAGAGAGATCGACCTAGAATTTTTCTTGGTAACTGTCCAAGTGATGAGCTATGATTTGACGAAAAGTAGATTATTCTAACTCACCTAGTTTTTGAAATACAAACAAAACAAAAAAACTAACTTCCCATAAAATTAGAGATAAAGATTTGTTCAAGACATTTCCAAAGATACTTGGTTTAGGTCTAATCAATGTTTTATATAAAGTTTTGGATCCTCAGCAGAGTAGAATGGATCTACGCTCTTTTATAGTGACTTTTGATAGCATTTCATGATGAATTGTACTTGTTTAAGCTTCTTTTCTGGTCTATTTGCAGCACAACAATAAAAGGATGGCATCCACATCGTCTTCTGGCACTGGTTTAGTCAGCATTACAGTTCAAATGTCTTCGAAAGGAAGCGACACGACAGTCGATTTAAACAATATCCCGTTGTCAATGACAGTCGGTGAGTTAAAAACAAAACTGAATGTAGGACCAAACTCACGCTTTGGACGTTTAAATCAGTTTGAAAATTGGGATAATCGACGTTCACTGTCGGACTATTTTGTCGAAACTGGTGAATCATTTGACTGTGTCATACAATCTGTCATGGAAGATGCACAACGATCTTTCGATGATTATGATGAATGGTTATTGGCTAATAGAAAATGAGCCAAATAACACGTTCAAGAGCTATTATGCTCAAAAAAACTTCCTTACCATTTGATATTTAAAATGTTCTGCTATAAGCTTTTTCGCTTCGAATAAAATATTTAGCTAAAGCTTTTGTGTTCGTGTGCTTCAATTAGACAATACGAATCCATGCTGATTTGACGTTTAATACCTTTTTTATTCGAATAACATTTAATTTCGACAAAGAGAATATATAAAAAAGCAGTTCATAAAAAAGTTTTAGGAATCGACGATATGATCTACATTTTGAATATATATGGATGTGGCCAACCGACATGATACCCCAATTCAGAGATGGAACCGGTCTAGTTTTTTCCAGACTGGTACCGGTACTGGTCCAAAAAGATCAGACCAGACCGGACCGACCGGTCTAGACCGACAAAACTGACGTATCAATAATACATCGATTCTTACAGTGAAACTTCTTTTTAATGTATCTCTCGCAAGTTACAAACTTAGCTGATGATTCAGAAATATCATAACAATTACATCGTGATGCTGTTGTTCAATACGACAGAGATGGAACTGGTCCACTTTTTCCGGATCCACACCGGTACTGGTCTGAAGATATCAGACCGGGCCGAAGCGGCCGGTATACCGGCCTACCGGTAAAAGCTGGTCTAACCGGTTTACCGGCCGAAACTGATTTACCCGTAAAAGTTGATCTGGTCGATCTACCGGTCAAAACTAGCCTACCGGTACTAAACAGGATGCTGATGATACGTCATTTTATAAGAGAAAATCCGACCTACAGACAAAATATCGATCTATAGACAAGATACTGAGGCTTGAAATGAACCGTGTTTCATAGTAAATTTGCTTGCGAGCTACTTTCGTACTTTCACGCATACTGACATAATGTTTCACCGTTGATAACAATAGTCTCACTGGCTAGCATTCCGAAAACTGTTTGTTAAATAAATTCCTGTGTGATCAGTGGGACTAGTCTTGGTGCCAGTGATTTTTTCATATGAATATCATCATAAAGCAGGAAAGTGAAAAATATAGACCGGTATAAGGCGGTTTCGGCCGATCAGACCTGTCGGACCGGTTTAGACCGGTTCAGTCCTGTTTAGACCGGTCGCTCCAAAATCCAGACTGGTACCGGGCCGGATCGAACCAGACCGGGCCGACCGGTTACCGATTCCATCTCTGCCCCAATTTCTATTTGCTTGTGTACCTTCGATCCGATATCAGAAAAACGTGATTTTTTTTACTGATGATAGTACTCATATAATGCTAATGATCTATTATTGTTTGAGCTCTATATCTTACTATGAAGAGAGGATGTGGGTGTGGTTATGTGTAGGTGGGTGTGCTTATCGTTCTTCTTTTTTTAAACACCCACATCCACATCCACATTCACACCCACACCCACACCCACCCACAGCCACACCCCACAGCCACACCCACAGCCACACCCACATCCACACCCACCCACAGCCACACCCCACAGCCACAGTCTCCCACAGCCACACCCCACAGCCACACCGCACACCCATACTCACCCACAGCCACATCCCACAGCCACCCACAGCCACATCCCACAGCCATACCCCACACCCACACCCCACAGCCACCCACAGCCACATCCCACAGCCACACCCCACACCCACACCCCACACCCACCCACAACCATACCCCACACCCACACCCACACCCACCCACACCCACCCACAACCATACCCCACACCCACACCCACACCCACCCACAACCATACCCCACACCCACACCCACCTACAGCCACACCCCACAGCCACACTCACCCACACTCACAGCCACATCCAGAATCGATATTTTGAGACTCTATCCCAATTTGAAATATGTTATCGAGGACGATGACCATGAATATGAACTCCATTTTCCTGGAAACCTTACTACACAGTCATGAATCAATAGAAGTCGAAATTTTCGGAAAACTGACTTGCTATGGGTGAATTGCGATAGGAATTCCGAGTCTGAGTATGGGTGTGGATATACCACTAATCTTCAACCGGACACAGACCTATACCAATATCTGCACCCACACGCATCTAGACACACAGCCACACGCATCTAGACAGACTCACACGCATATTTAGAATAAAGCTGTAGCAAAGTTTCTTTCCACATTACTTGGTAGGCTCCTTCGATAACACTTGCATTGAGATCAAATATCGTACGCCATTAATTGCATTATTTTCGCAGAAAATATTGTAGCATCTGTTCTAAGACTTGGCATCGGTTGGAGTCAAATTACAGAGCTCATGTGTGTGCGATATTATTAAAACAAAATTGCATGTTTTTCATTTTCGTATTTGATGAAGCTTAGTTGCATATTATTTTTCATCAAAATAATCTATTAGGCTCTTGCTATATAATACTATCTCCTCTCACCACATTTTTCAAGCTTCACTAAAAAGCAATAGTCTGCAGGTAGGTTGTAACACAAGTAGCAACGATGCAACAATATTGGTTTGTTATATACATCGCCATTGCGATTACAGTGGTCAATGGTCACACACGAGATCTACGCGTCGAAATAACTCCAATGCAATCAAGATTTGCTGCAACACACAAAGTAAACGTCCTCCTAAAGTACACCAACACTGGCAGTGAGCCCATGGCTATTTACAATTGGTACTTGCCGGAGAAGGAACTATGTGATCCAATCTTTGAAGTGACTCGAAATGGAGAGCGTGTCGAATATGTTGGTCCACTGTTCAAGCGACGCGCACCAACGGTTGATGATTTGATCTACTTGGCATCGAACATGACCCTGAGCACTCTCATGGAGCTGTCATCAGTATATAATATGACTGAGACAGGCAACTATATGGTCCAATACAAAATGAATGCCGACCAAGTGCTGGCTACAATGGACAATACGTTCAAGTATAAAATCCCGTCATCATATGATGGTGAAGAGTCTGTATTACAGTCAGCTACTATCATGGTGTTTGTTGCGGGTCGTCGAAATCTACTGATCGAACAAGCTATCGAGGCCAGCACACAGCCGAGAGCACTCACACCCACCTTTCTTAGTTGTACGGCCGATCGATCCAGCGCCATTAGAAGTGCGATCACTGCAGCTGAAAACTATGCTAACGGCGCCGTTCAGCATTTGAACAGCGGGTCATCGGGCACGACACGTTACACCACTTGGTTCGGTAAATACTCGTCCAACAATTGGCTCACATTAAAGTCACACTTCTCAAAAATTCAAAGTGCGTTGCAAACCAAGTCGCTGGCATTCGACTGTTCGTGCCCAGCTGGAAGTGCCAATACATACGCCTATGTTTATCCAAACCAGCACTATAAAATATTCCTTTGCAATACGTACTGGACGGCGCCAATGACCGGTACTGACAGCAAGGGTGGCACGATTATTCACGAACTAGCTCATTTCACAGTAGTAGCCGATACGGATGATCACGCATATGGTCAAAGCAAGGCCCAACTTTTGGCACAAAGCAGTCCAGCTAAAGCACTCATGAACTCTGACAACCTCCAATATTTCGCCGAAAATAACCCACAATTGTATTGACATTTTTCATTTGATCTTCTTTTTATTTTAACTATGACTAATTCATTTCTAAATGGTCATACAATGAGAAAGAAGGAAAGAGTAGAATTCTCATAAAAACATGTTTTAATGATGTAAGAGAATTAAGCAACCAATTCGAATTTGTTTTAAAAATGATTCACCCCATTGACTGATTTCACTCAGAAATGCAATGAAACAAATGCAGCTCGACGATCTCTATCAAACGCTGTCTTTAAACGTTTCAGGGTGTGGGTGTGAGTAAAGATTTAGCTCGGGTGTGGGTGTGTGACTGTAGCTGTTCCATTGCCCATCCAATCCCACGTCCACCCACATCCACACTCTCCCAATCCGAACCATCAAAGAAAAATCTACAAAACTAGGCAAGCCTCAGAGTTTTAGGTTTAGTTATTTAAGACACATAGGTATTCTAATTATACTCATAAAATTAAAAACTATTCCTGATGTATATACATGCTTATGGTTAATTGAACATATGCCAAGAATATAACTTAAAAGTTTATTATTTTTTGAATGAATTATCAGAAAGCTTTGATGAAGTTTCTAGAATGCATCGGAAATAATTATCTATCTCATTTGAATATCTTCCATGATTTTTTTTCGTATATTTCTTTCTTTCTGATTTATTCAAATTATTGAATAAAATCTTCTGCATGTATAATATTTTAGAGTATTATTTTTCATGGCATTAAAATAGAGTGACTTTTATCATGTTTTCAAATGTTGCGAATATAATCGTTGATTAATGGTGAGATTTCAAGAATATGACATAGTCAATATTAAGTTTACAAAATAAACCAAGTTTTCTTTTTATTTACAGTAGTGAACAAAAGTCCCAGCCCTAGGGGAAAACTATCTAACTAAGGCTTGTTTGCTTTGAAACTTGTAGTGAAGTAAGGACTTGGCGAATCCTGATCGCAGGCAAAAGTTCGAGTCCTGTCTCTTTACTGAGGCTGAGATATCAGGTCAACACCAAGCATTTTTTTCTCCATATTTTTTTCGAAATTATGTGATTTTGGAAGGAACTGCTGGTACTTTTCGATTTGCTGAAGTAAACGTAATATTTTTAGTGCAATAGGTGGTTTCGATCGTGGTCTACCTATACCAGAAAGGTCACTTAGATTTGCCATACTCTAGTGATTTTCTAGAGCTGTCGAGGGTGTGGGTGTGGGTGTGGGGTGGGTGTGGGATGGGTGTGGGGTGTGAGTGTTCGATGTGAGATGTGGTAACTACATAATTGGGAGATGCATTCCATCCACATCCATACCCCACACTTTCAGGTTGCTCTCTGGTTGCTTGTTTACGAGAATATAAATCTTCCAGTATTGTTTCCAAACAAAGCAAAATCAATGCTATTCACGTATCAAGACAGATGTAGATCAATTCAAAAATAAGTTAGTTTGTCAGAAAACAATATGTTATTTATTCACACAGGAGCCTGCACTACTTATGTAATAGAATCATATTATATGAAATTATTCCGTCATACACTATTACATAATAGGTTATCAATTGAACTACCTTGAATATATTGACTTATTATCATGAGAATAAATTCAATGTATGGTTTTTGATGACGTTTCTAGTAGAAAAAAAATCTCCGACGGTTAACAAATGATATCATGAATTTAATGGCGACTAAGAACTTATAAAAAGAAAATATTTACTTAGCTGCTTGAATTTTAAGAAAATTGGATGGTTAGCCTTCAGTAAAATCTGTATATTTTTTGAACGCAAACAGTTATCGATCTCGATCTTTTGTAGATCTATAGAGGAGAAGCTGGACTATCTGTCCATTATCTTATAGTTGAGAATGTTTTTTGTTTTCATGGCAGATTAAGCTCATTAATAAAGCATAGGATGTATCCAAGGAAAAAAGTAACTGGGATTTTTTTCACTGACTTTGCAAAAAGATAGAGTAATGCCGATTCTAGATAGTGCTGAAAAACCAAATTATTTCTCCCTTGTTGTTTTAAAACTATTCAAAATATGCCCACGTCCACTTTACTCTGGCATGGACAGTACTCTTATTAGTTCAAGAATACCTCAAACTATATGATAAATTTGACTAAAAAAAGCGAAAAATGAAAGTTTTTTTGATCCAAAAGCCGGATGAAGATTCCCGTTGTAATTGTTTTCATTACATCCTAATAAAATGATATACTACAGAAGCCTATTGTTGGGTGGATTTAGAGGGTGGGGTGTGCGCCTTTTAAGCACCAAAACTGACGTCGCAAGTGAACAGTATATACACCAAGCAAATGCTACAAATCGATGATTATATTCCAGGCTACTCAAATGTAGCTAGGTTAACGACAAAAATATATCTTTTAAATTACTAGCAAATATATATGTATAGCCGTCCATGAAAAAGGAAAAGGTAAGTGATCCTACATTAAGCGTGCAAAATAAATTGTCATTTTTTCTTGCAATATTCTTTTCTCATATTTTTTCATACCGAAATTATCATCCTTACAGAGATATAAGCATTAACAAAATCTAAAAACTAGAGATATGTTCAAAGGTACTTGAATATTTTCCATACTTTGTCAAACTATTATATAAAAGCTACTGCTCGAAAGAAGATTGAGTAACCGGATGTTTTTTTAATAAACAATAGAAGAATCTAAAAAATCTCTAACGTAATTAAGAAAAACGGACATTATCTAATAACTAAGTTCGTCAATATTAGAACCAGCTTGTTTCTGCTTATGATTCATTTGTACGTTTCGTTGTTTCTGTACGTTCCGATTACCAAAGAAAAAGAGATGGTATAATTTTTTCCTATTCATAGCAAATTTAACCAGTAACCGAACACAAGAGTTATGGATAGGAAACCAAGAGTTACTCGTCGTGAACGTGCGATTAAATGACTACAAGTTTCCTCATACGTAATGTTTCGAGTATAATATCAAAAATTTTTATGATTGTCGTAATGCTTGTATATCTGTAACAGTAGTAAGTAGAAAACTGAAATTCTAACATAGAGTAGATTTAGACGTCGAGTGGATACATTATACATAAAATTTCTACGTCAGTGCGAAAATATATGAGAAAAGAGTATTACCAGAGGGAATCCGAACTTATTTTACATTCTTTATCTATTTAATAATGAACTATATATTGAATAATTTTATCTTTTATAATCAATCAGTTGTAGAGATGCAACAATGATGATGCACCGATCTGAAGCACAGTTTTACACTGGTCTCAATAATTACGTATCAGCTAACGATGAAGACGTTGAACGCATGATAAAACTAGAGTGGCCTTAATCGATTTCAATTTTTTCGGCGAGGAGGTCATTTTAAGAAAATCGTTGAATTGTATAAAATTAGATTAAAGATTTTTTTGCGGTCTCCAAATCCAAATCTATAAGAGGTTTGTCAAAATATTCGTTCGAGAAAGGCTCAGTTATTATGATTCAGTCATGCTTATCATTCATTTATCGTTACTCTGTAAATGCATATTTAAATCAGAGGATTGTTCTACCTAAGACCAGTGCAGTCATATGAAATCAAAGTTTTAAAATTGTTTATTATTTTTTTGTCATTTAACGACGGAGAAAAGACTTTCCTTACTATTATCGACGGTAAAATATAAGACAGGTCAATGTTTTTCCATAAATTTCGATAGGAGCACGATAAAAACTTGCAAATATCACTAATCAAAGAAGGACATTAGGTAGCATTATATTGATTTGAAACTGATTGGTGGGGTACTTGTGAGTGTTTTCAAAAACGATTTTCTAGAAGGCTATCTCGTTTTATTTTGACTTATGCTGTGAACATAAAACAGAAAAACTTGTTCTCTTTCGATCTACATAAGCCCGACATCTTTAATCTGTCCTGTTCAAGAGATTCCAATTTCAGTCTACTGACTTTGGAACACTCAGAGAGCAGTCAAGACAAGAGTGATTTGTCAGACTGAGTCGAATGGTAATGTTTTTTTTTACGTTTCAAACTCATCTAAAATCATCATCACAAGATTCTCGAAATCTCACAGTTTGCTGCTATATCGTTAAAAGTGGATATTTTGAAAACCTTTTTATAATGATATTAGATCGCTTTGAAGCTAAAATCAAATATTATCATTCGACTTAGTCTGACGCATTGTTCATGTCTTTAGCTCTATCTGAGTAATCTGAACCTATTAGGCCCAAATCGTGATGTCTGGAAATCTTTACAACTCTTGAGTAGAACGAGTTAGAAACATTGACTTTACATGGATAGACAGAGAACAATTTATTCCATGGAGTGATCGCAGCATCAGTCAAAATATAAAGAGGTAGTTTTCTAGACAAACCATTTTCGAAGTTTCTTGCGAAAACTTGACTAATCAATTTTCAGTCAGTATTATAGACCCTGATATTCTCTTTTGAATGGTGAAACTTGCACGTCTTTATCTTGCTCCTATTGAATTTGTGTTGATCGAAGCATTAACAAACCCCTTGTCAATTACAAAATACAATCAAAGTATAAGATTCGGTAGAGATTTGCGCTTAAGTAGTAGAAGCTGAGACTTCTATTAGTCCTAACTACTAGAAAAGCAATGCTGTGGTTAATTTTCTTGCTATTTATATTTATTATCACGTCATAATTTAAATTCTGATATTACAAATATAAGCTTCACTGTAACACTAAGGCACAAATTGGTTATATAAAATGGAAAGAAGCACAAAAAACCATATCTAAAATAAGTAGAAATATGGATGGATTGGATCCACGTCGATCGAATAGAATTTCTTATCTACATATCCATACAAAATATCACATCCAGGAAGGTGTTGGACATGGTGGATTGAATAGGGATTTTATACGAAAAGCACCTTCATTTGAACGACTTAGGTCATATGAACGTGTTGATGGTGTACTAAAATTTGAAATTTTATGTTCTATTAGCCTTATCTTCAAAATTCTTACAATCGATTTTTAGCTGATTGCGATTGTCGACTGAACATAAATGGTGTTGGTACCATTCGTTGACTTTCAATACAAAAATCTTGTAATGTACCTGGCCGAACACCTAAACAAATTATTCAGATAACAATTGCAAATAAATTTAAGTTTGAAAGAAACTGTCAAGAAACAGTTTTTAAATACGAGCTTATTTATACTGTGAGACTATGGGTTTATGTACTATAAGTATTTAAAAAGATTTTTATCAAATCGATGCATTAGCGAAAATCATCATACTCATCTAGATCAAACCGTAATGGTGAGGATATTGATCAATGATGTTCAACATATCAGAGATGACGACTAGTGATACTTTGAGTTGCCACAATCGTGATATGACGAATACTAATAGTATGAACTGATCAAATTGCTGTCTTTGGAAAGAACCAATACTAGATGTGTAGAACAAGCTTATTTATCAATTAAGTCAATGATCAGAATAATAATAATAATAATGGTAGAAATTTTTTAGAAAAGCGAAGCAAACAAAATGAAATTAATGACGAGCAAATAGCAACAAGGGCAAATAAATACTAGAGCGCAGATTAAAAAAAAAATTCTCTTCGAAATATAGAAATAATATACGACATATCGTTTCAAAATGAAGCTGAAGAAGACATGTCAATGGCTGCGCTGACAAGTCTTTTATTTTTAGAATATTTATAGTTCATTTGAAGTCGTATCGCATTTCGTTGAGAGTAAAAAAAAAACAGCGCAATCTAGATTCGAGACACTATTGGTTGCTACGTGCCAATATTTCCGTTGACTTACTGTTCGTAGAAGTTTATTGATCTTCTCAAATTAAAATTCTGAAAAACATTTATCATGTCAATATTCGTAAGAAAAACTACGAACGAAATTATTGTGTCGAATATGATCGTTTATTAATACTTTCAGTAGTTTCTTGAAAGTAATAATTCTGATTGTAAAGTTCTCACAAAATTCTGACAATTTTTACCGAGTGATTTACGAGCCTGAAAAAATATTTTTTTCTAACAGTTTGCCATTACAATAATTACCTTTATATAGAGCATGTTCTCTTGATGATGGCGACGTTAATGTAGGTACACGTGGCATCCTATAATATACAATTTTAAAATAAATAATAGCATTGATTTAACATACGTATTATCAGATATTGGACGAAATGATCGTCGAACTAATGAAGAAACAACTTTTTCCATTCGACCTGATCGTTCATTTTGCATATTGGGTCCATTAAACCATTGTGATGCATTATGTACTGGTACATGTATACGATTTGTTGTTGGTCGTCGAGAAGTCGATGATGAATGCTCAAAATCATTGAGTGTTGTTGATGCTGTAAATGATTGTTGTTGTTGTTGTTGCTCAAAAGATGAAATTGGTGCTTGTGTGTGATCAGGTATGAGAAAAATTGTTGATTCAATAAGAACAGGAGATGAAGCAATTGTTTCACTGATTGTTAAATCTTTGTTGTGTTGTTCTTGTTTTTGTTTTATTATTCGAACAGACATTGGACGTTCAATTGTCATTCTAAAATAATGAACTTAAGAGTAAGATAAAAAAAAACTGATGTCACTGTTTTTTTTACTCTTCAGTTGTGATCACTCTATTTGGAGTGGTTTGAATTTGCTCTACATTATCATTTTCTTCATGATCAATAATAAGCACTGGTGGTGGAGGCGGTGGTGTTGGTTCACGTGGTGGTTCAACAAAAGCTTCTCTAGGTTTTCAAGAGACGTATGATAAAGAGAAAGTATTCAAATCTTATGAAACATACTTTGGTTTATTAAGATCTATGTAGAAAAACATAAAAATAGATTTAGCAACATAATAAATTTTCGCACGAAATCTTACTAATTTCAAATAATTTTGGTGTTGGACGTTTTTTTTCAACTGATTCTAATGTCTAATCAATATTAAAGAAAAAACAAAAACCAACGTTTTCTCTTTTTTGAAGTTTAAAGGAAAATTATATAAATATATTATTACTTTTGATTGTAATGTTCGAGGTGGAAAAGCATTTCGGGGTGTTTCTTCTCGTGTTGTCGTCATATGTAATGTTATTCTTCAAAAACAATAATAAAAGAACTTTTTTATAAACGAATTTACATAATCCAATTGTACTATACTTATCACCAAGTGCAAATTTTGGTCGCCAATAATCATGTGAAGCATCCCATTCAAAATTATTCATACTAACATAATTAGTATGATCATTTAATGATCCATTCTTTATCATTGAACCATTAACAGCAAGTATATGATCAAATTGAATCATTGCTATATCACCATCAGGTATTGTTACAATACGACCAAATGTTTGTGGTGCTGTTAATATACGATCACCAATAGCTGAAAAATATCTATGTGGTTTGTTTTCCGTATTTTAATAGAAAAAGAAAAAAAAAAGAAAAGTGTTTTTTGTTTTGTGTCACTATGATATATTTTCTTGATGAGAGGAAACAAAAAACCTTTTAATTCAAGTATAGTTGAAAATTATTCAAATTGTAAATAATTAAAGAAAAAAAAAAACAATTCGTCTATTATTCTAAGTGTGTTAAGTGATAAAATCTTTAATAGCGTGTTTTTTTTTGTTACTATTCGCTCGTTATTTATTTTGTTTTTCTTAATTTAACTTGATGATTATTCTAATCAGTGATTTAATTGAGAAATACGTTTATTGTACACATCGTTTATATTTACAATAGGTCTTAATGCACTAATAGATGATTGAAAAATTTTTAGACAAGGTGTATGTTCACATTTAACCTACTCGAAAGTATATCTGACGAGTTAAAGCTATGATTTTGTTCTCTTCACGAATATGGACTTACAAGTTTGTCTCAGTTTTTGTTCGAGATAAATGACATAATCGTTGAAAAATCGAAAAAAAGTAGTTTAAACAGAAATTTTCTGGATCTTTAGTTGAATATTAAATTTTGTAGAGAAATGTCCATTCTTAAAAAAACAATCGACTTCGACAATTTGTCGCATGTGCGAAAAAATACTGATAAGGTGAACAAAAATAGATACAACATTTCGAAGCCCATATTCAAATTCTAGTCACGACTCGATTCGTATTTTGGAACTGAAGATTATAATTAAATATTCTATAATTTTAAAGGAATTATCATATAAATCATCAATCAGAACTCAGGTCAAGCTCGGTACGTCGGAACCGATCGGTTCCGTGGAATTTCGATGATTTCTTTACTACAGGATTTCGGTCCAGATTTCGTCGGGCCAGTTCCGATCAGTTTCCATCGGTTCCGTCGATTTCCGACGAATTCCTGGTCGAAATTTTGCGGAACTTAACGGAATTTTTCCGGCGGAAAATGGACCGGAATCCTGTAGTCAAGAAATCGTCGGAAGTCAACGGAGCCGACCGAAAACCAACGGAATCTATAGGATCCGCTGCCGGAAAACAAAGGGAACAAACGGTTCCGGCGATTGGAACAGTGGACCTCGGAATATAATTCAAGAGAGTAGGTCAAAAAACAAGTAGTAGAGGATTTTCTTAGATGTGATACGAATAAATTCTAGAGTAGTTTTCTCTAGATCGAGAGTAACGTAGGCTTGATTGCGCATGCCTGTAACCATTACCCGTCATCTGCAACATATGGAGTAGAAATGGTTTTCTGCGCAACAACTAAAATTTGTACTATTTATGACATTCATGTTCCCAGAAAAGTTTCGAAAATAGTGTAGATCTATTTATTAATACCATTTAACGCCTTTTTCTATTACCAAGAAACTCTAGGAAAGGGCCCTAATATCTGTTGTCCTTGGTTGCTAGGAAAACGTACCAAAGATGGTTGTCGCCTCCCCCCTCCCCCGCTTTCCCCATTACTATAAAGGTGACGAAGAAGGATGCAAAGCTTATAGTTAAAACCTGACACTATGTCAATGTTTATTGATAATGTGAGCTTATATCAAACAAAGAATAACTTACTAGGAATACGATGAACTGGTACTCGTTGAGAAGATTTTGGTGATGATATATTTCGTTCTTGTTGTCGTTTATTTGAACTATCATGTTCTGATTTATTTGTTTCCTATTAAATCAAGTTTTTTAAATAAATCTTTTGCTAATATTGTACAAACTGCTAGTAATGGTTCATTTATTTTTTTTATTTTTTTTGTTGATAATGTACGCATAGTCATTTTTAATATATTACCCAAAATTGGACTTAATAAATCTTTTTGTTCTTCAGCTGATTTCTAAATAAATAAATAAATATATATGTATAGACAAAAAGAACTTGATAGAAATTCATTTACTTCATCAGCAGTTAAATTTTGTAAAACATCTTTTATACTTCCATATGCTGGTGATCGATCTAAAGCTTGTTTTAAAATTGAATTTACATCTAACATGAAATATATATATATAAGCATGATTATAATGAAAAACAAAATTCTCTATCAATTTACTTGGATTATCAACAAGTGTGTAAAACAATGGACACATTATTAATACTTGCATTACTTCAAGGCATACCATAGATTTTGCTTCCGAAACTCTAAGAATAAAATATGAAATTTAATTGATTAGTCTTTTTATAAAAAAAATTTTTACATGCTGCTATTTGGATAAGGTTGACTTGTATTTGAAGTTGATAATTGCCGTAATTGATTAGTAATAACAATAGAAATACTACTAAAAAGTTTTTCATTAAATGCTGATGGCTAGAATAAAGAAAATTTTGCTTTCAAGATAGAAAAATTTATTTTTGTTTTATACATGATTTTCATCTCGATCAAGTCGTGTACCTGCATAAACCAATGATGCAATGACATATTTTAATTCTTCACTTGATGAAAATATATGATCAATATTTAAATTTCTAATAATTTAAATCATTAGATATATTTATATAGATTAAATATATAATAATAAATCATACCCAATAGTTTTTATATGTGTAATATCAAAAACATTATTTAATAAATCAACAGGAATTTCAAAAAGAATATGAGTCTATATAAGATAAAATAGAAAATATTTTTACTCTCGAGTTTAAAGATATGCTCATCTTTTTTGATCGTTTCTGAAAAAAAAAAGAATTTTCAAATGGGTTTTTGTTGAGAAAGTCTGATTCTACATAGGACTATATTTTCGTTTTGAATTTCCTATCTGGATGAGCTGTGAGTATTCTTATATCAGTCTCAAAATCATTTTCTTGATTTTAATATTAGCCGATTCAGAGAAAATTAATTACGGTAAATCAAAAGGCGATGTTTACTTTCATTTTTCAATCATCGGTCACCTATATATGAGAGAAAGTTCAGGCTCAAAAGTAAAGAAAATTGAATCAGTCTTTGGAAAGATCATGGTCAATAGTGGTATTGAAAATGTTTCTATTCACAAAAGTCTTTCTTACGAGTGACCAATTCGATAGTTTACATAAGAGATGATAATCGAATAGATCTTTACATCAAAATAAATCATCGAAAAACAAATACTTCAATTAAATATCGATCAATAGAGTACGAAGTATTTTTTTCAACATATGATTTTCATCAAAATATTAGATGCCTACGAACTGATATAATGCATTCACAAATCATTCGTATTTATCATGAAATTCACTGATATTGCTAATTTTCGCAACAAAAAACAACTTGTTCAGACATAAATCCACGAGTTCTTTCGAATATTTTTAAAGATTTTCGTTTTTCACTAGCAGGGTTCCAACATTTTATTGTTTCTTTGCTCATCAGTTTCAAAAAAAAAACGCTTAATCTCTTTCCAATCCCATCAGTTGTTGCAAGACACTTCTGATGAACTTCATGAGTCATCTTTTCGCTTCTGTTGGTCTCGGAACATCTCTTTCCTCGAGAATATATATATTAATGAAGAAATTATTAAATTTTTAACTTGGAAAAACTCAACACTAAATAGTTATTTTATTCGTAGAGTTAATAAAAAGAAAAAGCAATTAAGTTAGTTCTGTTCCAAAAATAAATCGTTATTCTACTTACAACAAGTAATATAAGAAACATATTAAATTCTTCAATATGATTTTGTCGTATATCAACCATATGATAAAGTATATGACGATTTTCCATAAGAAATTCATCATGTTTCCTAATATTTCAATATATATAACAATATTTTTTTTTTAATTTTCATTTGTATGACTTACTTTCCTTCATCATTTCTCATTTCTGTAAGTAATAAATCTTGAATTGTTGAAGCTAAATGTTTAATTCGTCTTTTATCAAGTTCTATATTGAAAACAAAATCTCAAATCTTATTTTTAATGAGAATCATTTTTTTAACCTGAATTTACAAAACAATTCATTGGAAATTTAGCAAATAATTCCGTTGCCTATGAAAAAGAAATTTTTTATTTATTTTCCCCAAAAAAAAAGAAGATTGTATTTTACTTTTGGTCCAAAAATTCCATGAATCGCACGATCTTTTAGATTTGTTGGCATAAATATATCACGTGCTAATTTATGTCGCTAAATAAAACAACGATATTTAAGACTGTTAATCGACGTATTATTATTTTCTTTTTTTACCACAGGTTTTTGTGTTAATGATGATTGTGTAAAAAATTCATCAACTTGATTACGTTCAGAGGCTAAAAAGATTTATCAAAATATCAAGAATATTTATTACATAAAACTAATGTTCTAAAACCGAGTCGAATACCCAAAACATGCATCTCAATGCAAACTTACTCAGTCGAGTTCGACACAAGTATGAAAAATTGTTGAGTGTAAGACACTAACATAAAACTTACTTGAAACAAAAATACCATCAAACATCCAAATACGTGGTAAACAATCAAGTACATGATGACGATCTATTAAATAGAATAGATATTTTTAAATGAAAAATTTTTTTTTGTTTATTTTTCTTAACAATTTGAATCAGCATCTAATATAGTATTTCCATCAAGTCTTAAATCAAGTATAAACATATGACGAATATGTTGTAATTCAATCCATTGTAAACGATTATTTGAAAGTATAAGTGAACCAAGTGCTATAAAACGTGATAAATGTTGAAGACTTCGAATCTAATTATAGAAAATAAATAAATAATACAAAATTAAGATTATTTTAAAATAATTAATTTATACTTGATTATTTCCAACATCAAGTTTCCATAAATGTTTAATATGTTCAACACCGGCTAATGTTGTTAATGAATTACCATTACAAATAAGTATTTGTAATTGTTCATATTGAGGCACTTGGAATAAAGTGACTACAACAATATATATTCTTTCTTCGTATGAATTCACATAATAATAACAATAAAGATATATCTTTTGCAAAAAGTTGATTTCTTCTTCTTTGATAAGTAAAAGAATACAATCTAGTAAATACCAAGTTTTTCCAACTTTTCGTATAACTTTGAAGTCTCCTTGTCGTAAGTGAAATTTTCCTAATGATAATTTTTAAAAGTGCTAAGAGTATAGAGGTCATAGACTTTTAACATGGCCAGTTTTCAATCACTTTAGTACAAGAAAAAAGAAGTTCTAACATATATAGGAAAATTTGTGTTTCCCAAAAGAAATTTAGGATGAAACTCTCCAGGTGATACAAATCTTTTTAGACGAAACTTATGTTCTTAGTCTGAGTATTATGGCATAAGATAAAACCTGTAATCATTCGTATTCTTGTTGCTTTCTTTTTGTGTTATAGTCATTTTACTCAGTTGTGTGAAATACGATATAAAAGAAGTGTTGAATTACAGTGGTAAAAATGTCAACTGTCATTATTACAAATGTGACAGACATTACCACGGCAACATTACGTAACGTGACAGATGTCTTAGCAACGTCCTTCACCATTCTAGACGGTGACAAACATTGGTGATTTGCGATCACATATCATATATTAATGGTATTTCGTTATAATAAATGAACTAATTTTTGAATTGCTGAAAGATAAGGCAAATGAATGGTGAAGAAATGTTCTCTAAAATAATCTTCCTATGATTAACAAGAGTAACTATATCGTATTTCACATTTTAATCTTGCAAGAATTACGCTAAGTAGTTTCTAGTCCAGTTCGGGTTTGTTACAAAAATAATTCAAAGTCGTCATTTCGATCTGAAGCTTCGTTCATCAATAAGTCTTATGCATTCGATAATACACTGAAATGTAAACCTATCATCACAGGAAGAAAATATTCGTTGTAACTGAAACGTTCAAAATATGAAAGAGTTCATAAAAAATGTTTATGAGAAAAATTTTAGATAGCATTAACAACATTGAATTTTTTTGTAACACACTCTGTGCTAAGGACAGACACTCAGTAAAATAGCGTTAAGCCGAAAAGTAAAGTAATACGGATACGTAGTCTTAATAGATTCTATTTATTAACATAAATCTTATCTAAAAAAATTTTTTATCACTTGAAGTAATTCACTCATTAAATGGAAAATTAATTTTTCTCATTTTTAAATTTGGTTGAATTATCTTCAGATTTTGCACCAAAATGATTAAATTTTCACGATATTCATCGATCAATCTTTGATATAAAAGCTTATTTCAGTACAGGATATATCTATTAAATTCTTATCTTTATGATTCAAACCTAATTTAACAAATATTTGAGAATACTTATTTTTTTTTTTTTGATAAAAAACAATAAAGTAATAAAGTGCAAGAAGAAAAATCCAACATCATTTGTATTCATTGGCTATTGACATTTTTACAATCTCATTATATTAAGATGTACTTTTACATTTTCAAATGACAAACTTCAAATGTTTTATATTCTTTTTTGTGATCGCGTTTTTTTTTCTATAAATAGAAGTTAATTTTTATCGAACATTTTTAACAATATAAAGTAAAGTTTTCTTCTCAATTTATTTTAAATGTCTGAGGAAAAAGAAAAAAAACAAGGAAAAAATTTTGTTTATATGTTTTAATCATATTTATATAAAGAGTGTTTTAGATGAAGTAATGCATTATAATAATCAAAAATAATTCTTACTTATTCTTGTATTATTAAAGTTTGCATAATTACTCTTCTCCTCGTCATTATTGTTTCTATTTAATGGTACCTGATATTCAAAAATAAAGATATTCTATAGTTCTAGAAAATATATTCATTAAAAATAAAATGTCAACTCACTCGAATAGGAACCTTCATAATTATCAACTGAACATGATGAATTTACGTAGTTTAAAGAATCTATAGGTAACTGAAAAAGAAAATTATTTTATTTTTTCTACGAAAGTGAAAAGAAATAGAAACAAAAATTATATGAAATATTATTATTATTATCAATCAGCTGTTCTTAATAAGTACGAATGACTTAATAAAAGACATTGATTAGAATATCCATTCACGTATTCTGTTTCCTAGCAACCACCTTCCCTCTACTACAGAAAGGAACAAAAAAAAAGAAAGAAAGATATCATTATACGATAGTAGCGCTCATATGAAGATTCGCTAGAAATCTTGTAGTAATTAGTTTGTTTCTTTTTTCGAACATACGTAGATAATATATTAATAATACTTGTACGTTACAATTTTGTTTATCGATTAAACTAATTTTATAGGATGAGTGAAAGTGTTCGTCAACGTAAAAAAATCAATGAAAATGATGTTCAATCATCAAATGATGATATTAATCGAAATATTATAATCGATCGAGATGATCGTCAATATCGTAATCAATCTTCAATACCAATATCGTAAGTAATTTTCTTTCTTTTTTTTTTTTACAATTATTTTAAATATTTCAAAAATAAACTTATCAACTATTTTATTCTATGCAATATAGACTGAATTGCTGGATACATGAGTAGGTGTCAATTGCTTAATTTAATATCAGTGGATATGGGAATACTTTTGAAAAAAAAAAAAAATTTCCAACGAATATACATGATTCGGAATTACCTATTGAATAGTTAATTTGCTATATGAAATCTAAGAATATAGATAAATTTTTATTATTATATCTATATATTTAGACAAATGTGTTTGGGTATAGTAGCAATATCTATGATTGCTTTATTAGCTTTTATACAATTTGGATTACCTCATGAAGATCATATGACAAAACAGTATGAATAAAAATTGTAGAAATTTGAACTATTTTATTGTGAAAATATATTATTTTTTTTTTTGTTTGTTAGTTTTCCAGCTTCATTACCAACAATGGATGGTGGACCTTTACTTGTAAATGATTTTCTTGCTCATAGTGAACGAATTTATGTTGGTGAAGGACCAGAATCAATCGAACCATTAAATGGTAAATGTTTTTTTTTTTTTTAGTTTATTTTTTTATTTATTATATGAAAAGACAAAAAGAAAAACTAATTAACTAACTAACTAATTAGGTTTACTTTATACGGGTTTAAAAAATGGTTCAATTGTTGAATTTGATCCTATAACAAGAAAAACTCGTATTATTTATTCATCACTTAGTGTTGATGATCATCTACTTAATTGTGGTAATTAATTTGCATGTATTTATTTTTTTGATAAATACTTTTAGATTTATATTCAAGGAAAAGATAATCTTGAACATATATGTGGTCGTCCATTGGGTATTCGTCGTTTTTCTGATAATGAACTTATTGTTGTTCAAGCATATCATGGTTTATTTAAACTTAATGTAAAAACAAGTATGTTTTATAATCACTTTGTTGCTTTTTTCAAATGAAAAAAAAATGTTCATAGAAAGAGAAATAATTTAAGTTTAGGAAATTTAGATATTAAATTTTGTCATAGTAAAAATTGAAAAATGAATCAAAAGTTCAATAAAATGATCATACACTCAGTTTCAGAAATTCATTGGTATGAATTCTTTTAGAATTTTTCTAATCTTTTCATGTAAACTTAATATAAACTCTAATGCAGAATTAAAGTTCGAATAGTTCTTTTGTTAGTTGCAAAGAACAAAAAAGAAAATTGAACAGCTGATTGATAAACCAAATTCAATATAGAGTGTTTTTGTGAATTCAGATCTGCAAAGACCCATAACTAGTTATTTGTATTTATTTTTTTTTTTTTTATAGAAAAACTTACTCAACTTATAAGTGCTGATGATCCAAGATTTGGTTCTCGTCCATTACGTTTTGTTAATGATGTTGATGTACTTGATGGACGTTATCTTTTTTTTACTGATTCAGATTGGTTATATCCACGAAAAGAATTTATGTCTGTTTTACTTCGAGCTGATCCTCGTGGAAGGTAATTTCTAATTAATTTTATTTTATTTTGAATTCTATTTCATAAATTAATTTAGATTAATTCGTTTTGATCTTGAAACTGGTAAAGTACGTATACTTAATGATCAATTATCATTTCCAAATGGTGTACAACTTTCTATTGATAAACAATCAGTATTAGTTTGTGAAACAACATTTGCTCGTATTATTCGACATTGGATTAGTGGTAATAATATGAAAATTGGTAAAAGTGAAATATTTATTGATAATTTACCTGGTATACCTGATAATATTCGATTAACAAGTACAGGAAATTATTGGATTGCATTTGCTGGTGTTCGACATGTTAATCAACCAAGTTTTTTAGATCGTTTACGTAATTGGCCACGATTACGTGCTATACTTTCGGTAAGTTTAGGACAAAAAAAAACATGTAAAATTATATATTGAAATTTCTATTATTTTTTGTTTGTTTTCAGTTCATGCCAGGTTCAATAACGAAAATATTTAAACGTTTACCACATCATGGTATTGTTATTGAACTTGATAAAGATACTGGTCATATTATTCGTTCATTACATGATGCTGAAGGTTTAATTGTTCCATCAGCTTCACAAGTTACTGAATATAATGGTTATCTTTATTTTGGATCATATTATTTAGATCATATTGCAGTATTCAAACTCTAGTCGAATTATTTTATTATTATTCATGAACTTTTCTTTTTTTTTTTGTTATATTAGTTTTTAGAGTTTTTCTTTTCTTTTTTTTATATTTAATCTTGGTTATTGACAAAAGACAATCATAATCATAAACTTATTTCTAGATTATGCTTTCGTGTTTGAAAGGTGTATGTTGTTTGCGGTTTTTACAAGGTACTAATTATCCTGATGTTATTGTTTCTCATCGACCTGAAGTTATACTTGATACATCTCGTATGGGTCAAGATGTAGTCGTAGTTAAAAATGGACGACGTTTATGTGGAACTGGTGCTGCTGTTGCTGTAAATTATTATTTTTTTTGTATTTATTAATCATATCTTCATAGATATAATTTTCTTTTAGAATGCACCAATCGTACAAAATAAAGCATATTTCGAAGTTAAATTACAAACACAAGGTTAAATAAAAAAAGATCTAATTTTTCTTTTTTTTTTTATTGTGTATTTATTAATAGGTACATGGGGTATTGGTTTAGGAACTCGACGAACAAATTTATCAAAAGTACCATTAGGATATGATAGTGAAGCATGGATTATGGATCAATATGGTCAAGTTAAATATGATAATAAAGTACTTAGTCAATTTAGAACTAATATAGAAGAAGGTGATGTTATTGTAAGTATAATTTATATTAAATATTATAATTCGTATATGAACTTCTTTGATAAAGGATGGTAGAAAATTTTCAACTTCTCTCTCTCTCAGCAAATCTATGACAAACTTATTTATAGAGGAAGATTAAAGCTATCATCTGAAGAAAAAAAAAGATACTTTGAAATATATCAATGTCATATACATTTCAATATATAATGTGTTCCACTGTCTTTTGAGCAACTCTCAATTGAAACATCGTAGAAGTCGTAGGTTTCTATCATTCAAGCCCATCGAAATTCGATTGGTCAGCAATTAACTAATCAAATGAGCTTCTGACGAAGATTTTTAAAAACGATTTTCTGAAGCTATTTTCCCTTCATGTTAAAATCAACGTAGGATTACTCGCTAGGAAATAAATCTTTTCTTTGGAACTACGCGAAGCCGTCATTCATAACTTGTTTCGCTTTAGAGCTATTAGACTTTTCTTGAGATCCTCTATTTTAATCAGTTGATCTGTAATCAACCGAAAAAGTAGCTAGGCACTTATAATTCACTGAATAGTGATATTTATATATTTCAATCAATTAATCATATATAGGTTTTGTTATACATATCATTGATTGGACTGAGTGGTGACTCACGGATCATAGTCTAATAGTAACAGTCAATTATGACTCGGTTATTATACAATTTCGAAACGATTTGAATATTGGGACTAAAAAAAGTTCATTTAAATTTTTACATTTAGAATTATTCATTTTACTTCTTTGAATTGTCATACGTATCTTGAATGCATATCATAATGATGATATAGGAAGTGAGACATAGCATTTTATTCTTCGTTTTGTCGATTTAGTCATCATATTAATCTAATATATACATTCATTTAATTGTTCAATAAACTTCCGAGTAAATGAGAGTTTTAAAATAATTTTAAACTTATATTCAATATTTATCATTGAAAATATATGTATATACAAAGAGCAAAAACTTATATTGGGTCAAATTAAACTAGAAATGTACAAATAATTAAAGAGAATATATATATATGATAAATTTCAATTTTTGTTTTTTAAATAGGGTTTTGCATATGATCACGAAACATTTCGCATTTTTGTCAATGGAACCGAACAAGAACCATCGTGTCGTGTAACTACACGTGGTACAGTTTTTCCAATTTTTTACGTTGATGAAGGTAAATATTTTTTTTTTATTAATAAAATTCTTTATTTAAAACTTTTTTTTATTTTTTTCATTCATAGGAGCAATTCTTGATATTCAATTTTCAACATTTTATTTTCCCCCACCGGAAGGTTATGATCGTATTTTATTAGAAAAATCACTCATATAAAAATAAAAACTCGAAAAGTATTATTTATTTTTTTTTTTTGTCTTTTCAGCAGTGATTATTTTTCTGTTTATCTAAATCTTAAACACGTTCTTCGAATACTCATTGTTTATTTTATTTATTGATTATTCAGATATTTAATATAGTTGTTGTTGTTGTTGTTTTTTTTCTTCTTCTTCAACAAAGATCTTCTACGCTTTCTTTTCAGATGTATCGATTAAATATTCGCCGATATGCATCAACATTTTTACATCGATATACAACTAAAAATGAGCCAATATTAGAATATCGACGTAATAGTAATGAATTAAAACAAGTACAAAATGTTTTGAATGAATATAAATCAAAAGTAATACGTATACCATGTATTATTGATGGAAAAGAATTTTGGACAAATGATATTCAAAAACAAGTTCTTCCATTTGATCATAAACATATTCTAGCTGAATATTGTTATGCTGATCAAACATTAATTCAAAAAGCTATTGATCATGCAGTTAAAAATCAATCAAAATGGGATTTAATGCCTATTGAAGAACGTGCTAAAATTTTTCTTAAGGTTTAATTTTGTTTGTTTTTTGTTTTGTTCATTTACTATATATAACTTAGGCAGCTGATCTTGCAGCTAATTTAAAATGGCGTTCACATCTAGTAGCAACAACTATGCTTGGTCAAGGTAAAACAGTATTTCAAGCTGAAATAGATGCTGCTTGTGAATTAATTGATTTTTGGCGTTTTAATGTTCAACATCTTTCATCAGCAATGACTTATCAACCAATAAGTACTCGGGATTCTGATAATATTTATCTACATCGTGGTCTTGAAGGTTTTGTTGCTGCTATATCACCATTTAATTTTACTGCTATTGGTGGTCATCTTGCATCAGCACCAGCGTTTATGGGCAATACTGTTCTATGGAAACCGTCAGATACAGCTATATTATCAAATTATATTGTGTATAAAATTTTAGAAGAAGCTGGTCTTCCACCAGGTATTATTCAATTTATACCAGCAAAAGGAATAGACTTTGGTCGAACAATTACACAATCACCTAATCTTGCTGCTATTACATTTACGGGCAGTACGACAACATTTAAAGTAAATAATAAAATAAGAATACATTCATTTTGTAATGTCCAATAGGCTACGTTGTAGCAACAAGAAATTATTTTAGCTTTTTAAAACATTTCAAAAATCTTATAGGGGAAATGCACGAACTGATTAATCGTTATTAAGTCGAGATACTGTAGCTGTATGATGATTTTTTTTCAGTCAATGCCGGGGTCCTCTTTAGAAGCATCAGAAAAGTTGGTTTTCGACAGGAAACTTTCCACCGAGAATAATCTCACATCAAAAGCAATTAATCAGTTAGACGACGTGCCTCCAAAATCATCAGATTTCTATTATCATAAATAAATAACTCTTTTTACAAAAGAAACTACAATAATGTAAGAAATAAATCACACAGATTATGTAAAATAGAGTGCTCATTCTATCGTTCTATAACAATAGTTTTGTTCTAACATTTTTTCTATTCGAAAAAAGTAAACATTCTTTCTCAGTTAAGGACTTTGCAAAATAAGATGTATTCATTACAGTACATGCGCGCACATCTCTACACTAGTTAAAATTTCTATAGAATATTTTTCTTCTATTTGACACATCTACTCAGTTAGCGAAAAGATGAATAAAATATGTTTCAATGTTGTGTTAGAAGTTTTTGTGTTTTTATAACTTTTAAAAACCATTGTTAGTTTTTCAAGTAAGAACATTGTAAACAAACTTTTGTCTTTTCTCATTTTCTGACTCTTATAAATTATTTTTTTTTTTTCAAACAAATATCAACTAATCACTCTATGAATGATTTATTAGAATATGTAAAATGATTAATTGAAATTTTACTAATTTTGTATTTTATAATTTCTTTAGACTCTATGGAAATGGGTAGCAGAAAATATCGATAATTATCGAACATTTCCACGTTTAATTGGTGAATGTGGTGGTAAAAATTTTCATTTAATACATCCATCAGCCGATTTAACAACTGTAATCAATGGTACAATACGTTCAGCTTTTGAATATAGTGGACAAAAATGTTCTGCTTGTTCTCGTGTTTATTTACCAAAATCTTTATCAGATAAATTTTATTCACAAATGAAAAATATTATTACAAATGAATTACGTATTGATACACCATTAAAATTTGATACATTTACATCTGCTGTTATTGATCGTAATTCATTTAATCGTATTCGATCATATATTGATTTTGCACGAACATCATCATCATCAACAAAAATTCTTGTTGGTGGAGAATATGATGATTCAATTGGTTTTTATATTAAACCAACATTAATTGAAACAATTGATCCAAAAAATAAATTAATGTATGAAGAAATTTTTGGACCTGTTGTTACAATTTATGTTTATGATGATAAAAAATTTGATGAAATAGTTAATTTAATTAATGAAACATCAACATATGCTTTAACAGGTTCAATTTTTTGTCAAGATAAAATAATTTTAGATAAAACACATGAATGTTTAAGAAATGCAATGGGTAATCTTTATTTAAATGATAAATCATCTGGATCTGTTGTTAATCAACAACCATTTGGTGGTGCACGTTTATCCGGTACAAATGATAAAGCAGGTGGACCTCATTATTTATTACGTTTTTCATCACCATTATCAGTTAAAAATATGAAAGAACCATTGAAAACATTTAAACATGTTTCAATGGAATAAGATATTTTGTCTTTGTTTTTTTTTTTTTTTCAATTTCAGTTTTTTATATTATTTTATTCCAGTATGTTGTGATCTGACGAATTTGTTTTCATCAAGTTTCAATAAAAGATCTATTTTTTTCTTTTGATTGTAACGTTATTAATAAATTTTTTTTGATGTATTCAATAACGTTTTTTGTTTCTTTGAAATTAAGAACAAAATATAAAGTAATGAAAGAAAAACATATAAAAATGAATTTATTTTCAAAAACTATTAGCAAGAATTCTAAAGGATTAGAATGTGAAATCATCATAACACATTATTAATATATATATGTATTTCTTAGATCGTGTTTAAAAAAAAATTAATCATCAAAGTTTACTTTTATTTCTGATGCTTACTTACACGAGGGAAGATTGCCAAGTGATAAATCATTTTTAAGCTGAACCTATATTCAATTATTAGAACCAAGTGTGTAAGTAAATACCTTTGAATGATTCGAATAGCTGAATCTCTGTTAATAAGATAGCAAATTTTTAATGAATTTCGATCTGAAGTTTTGCTAGAATTGTTGTAAAAAACATGAATATTTTCAGACATTCATATTTCATAGAGACTTGGTAAAAATTTCTGAAACTTTTCTACTGGCTACTATAATGGGTGCTTTTATGATAGTAACGTTTCAAGTCGAAATTCAATAGTATCAGTTCGCTTGAGAATTGTGTCCTTGCAAGAAAAACTCAGTAAAAATTTGATATCTCAGTAGCAAAGGACCAACTGCTCGAATTATTCTAGAGTATTTGCTTACTCACTAAATCTGATCGATTGAATATCGATCCAACTCAGAATCGATTTATCACTTAGTAGCCTCTTCTCATTAGCAATCTTCAGGATAAGGTATTTCTTGTACCTTGTAACCTAACTGACGAGGAAACTACTCGAACTGATATCTGCCGTTTTACTGAATTTCTGATCTAACATTAGATATTTACTGAAAAATCGAATAATAGAATTTCGACTTGAAATTTTGCCCATAGATAAACCAGACGACTTGGGAAATATTTTTAACGTTTCAGCCGAAAACAATGTTCCTTCGTCGAGGTATTGAGTTTCCAAAAAAAATGTTTGTTTGTCCCCAAAATCGAGCTTTTTGGAAATTCAATATATCGATGAAAGAATTTTTGTTTTCGACTAAAACTTTCATGATATATCCAAAATCATTAAAACTATCTATGGACAGTCTCAAGCCATAATTTCGTTGTTTGATTGTTCGGTGAATACCTACAGCTTGATCGAAAATTGAGTAAAAGAATTCTAACTCAGCTCAACAGGCCCATGAAAACAAACTCTTTTAGAATGTTTTAATATTTAGAATAATAATAAGAGTTGAATAATGTTTATATTGTAGTATGATTTAAAATGTCAATAGACAGTGATTATTTAAGTTTTTATGATTGGATTAAAAAGAATGGTGGTCAAATTCATGAATATGTAAAAATTGATACTAAAGAAGAACGAGGTCTTTTTGCAACAGATTCCATTGAATCTTATACTGCTCTTGCTATTATACCTCGATCATTAATAATCAATAATCAACATCCTGATTTGTCTACTATTAATACTGATACAGAACGACAAACATTAATTGTTTTTCTATTACGTGAATATATGAAAAATAATTCATCATTTTGGTTTCCTTGGATAAAACTTTTAAATATTGATAAAGAAGCAAATGAATTATTAACAACACAAATGCATCTATTCGATTGTGTAGAACATAGTACATTAGGTCAAGCATTAACAGATCGTTATCAACAACTTCAAACAGAATATGAACAATTAACTCAATCGAATATTATTGAAACAAATTTTGAATTATTTTGTGCTATTGATCATCTTATTTGGTCACGTATACTTGATTTACCTGAAAATGAATCTCTTTCATTAGTACCATTTATTGATTTTGCTAATCATAAGTATGTTATCATATCTTTAATATATACTTTTAAGATTTTTATATTTATCATATAGTTTAAATGCAAATGCACGTTGGTTTATTGATGATGAAACACATAATATAATTCTTCGATCTGAACGAACATTAAATTCAAATGAAGAAATTACAATTAATTATGGTTTAAAATCAAATGAAGAATTATTATATTTATATGGTTTTACATTATCTAATAATCCAAATGATCGTGTTACATTACCAGTTAGTCTACTACCTAATGATATATTACTTGAAGATAAACTTCAATTAATTCAAGAATTAAAATTACCTCCTCGATTAACTTTAAATATTTATGGTCATCTTAATGATCAATCAAATCGTTTAGTAAAAATTTTAAGTGCACAAACACATGAAACAATTGATAAAGAAAATGAATATTATCTACCATATCTTTATAACTTATTCAATGAATATCTTAATAAATTAAATATATGTTCTGATAATGAGATATTTATTAAAAATTATCTTTATAGTCAAAAATCAATTGTTCAAAAAGCGATAGATAATTTGAAATAAATGGTATTTTGAATAGAATTTTTTTTTAAAAGTTAGTTAAATAAAATTTAGACATGTACAAAATTCAAATTCTACCTAGATGTTTATAAACTATTCAATTTCTAAATAGACCATAATCATTAAAAATGAAAGATATACATATTATATAATTTGTAAAGATGAATAATTTTATTTGAAAAAAAAAGAGAGAGAGAGCTTCAAGAAATTAGACAATAAATTTATAAAGAAAAATACATTTGAATTTTTTACAATGGTACAACCATGCCAACACTAACTGTATGATCAGGTGAAAGTATTAAATTTTTTTGACCATATGGATATATACTTTTTAATACTGAATAGATAAGTAATGCCAATTTACTAGGTAAGACTCGCCATCCTTTACGTATAACACGAATAGTTATTGCTGGAATGAAAAATGTTATATTTCGACCATCAGGAACTGGTAGACCATGTTCTACAGCAGCTAATTGTAGACTAAATATTAAAAAAAAAAAACAAATGCCATCAAATTGTATCTTCTATTTAATCCCTTTTGAGTTCGGTCATAACTAGACCCCGTCGGGTAGGGTCCGGGTCCAAAAATTTTATTTTGACCGGGTCCGGGTCTGAAAATTTTGCTTTAACCGGGTCCAGGTCTGAAGAAAACTTTGATCCATACAATTTATTTTGAATTTTTTTAAAGTTTTGTTCGTTTTATACAAAGAAGAGATCAAATGTATTTAGAAAATAGATAAAAAACAGCAAAACCCTTCTTGACTATACTATCTAAACTAACTTGTCATTGTGTTTGGATCCAAAAAATTTAAGCGACCGGGTCCGGGTTCGGGTCCAGCAAACTGTAAACGGGTCCGGGTCCGGGCCAGGGTCCGGGTCCAAAAATTCTGGGCCCGACGGGATCTAGTCATAACTCATTAAATTCGAAGATGATTAGTCTTATATCATTTTCAAATGATCATCGATTGAGTAAAACTCATATAGTACATCAAATTATACATACATTTGCTCTTCATTATCAAGTTTTTTAAATAAACAATTCAACGTCGGAAAGCTGTAAAAACGAAAATCGATTATAATGCTTTGACTACAGAACAGCGTATCTGCAGATTTGCATCTATCAACAGTATGCAGTAGAATTTGATAATACACAAAGTTAGTTTTTCTCTAACGTTGTAATGCTTTACATGTTCACAGATTCTCAAAAAAAAAAAATCTTTAAACCTCTACCATCAAATCATAAAAACTCATACACATTAGATAAACAAAATATTTCTCTAGAAGCTTACATACATTCCTAAAAAACTTATAGTCATTTTTGCGAAATAAAAACAAGCAACTAAATTTTTTTTTTTTTTCTTTGCATTACATATATAACATGCCTGTGCGTGTTATAAATCCTGATAATTTTGTTATTGTTTATTTTACAACTTATTTTCTTTCATATTAAATATAATCATGAGTCTTAGTAACGAATAAGAATCGAATCGGAGAGATAAACTTCTATTGACATAATATAATAGGATTAGAAAAAAAAAAAGCAACTCTATTTTATAACTCACATATCAAATAAATTAATTTTATGTTCTGAATAACCATAACGTGCCATAATATGATAAAAAGGTCGTTCATCTGAACCATATTTGTCAATTTTTAATCTATGACTTATATCAACAATAGGTATTCGTGCATATTCTAATTTAAGAAAGATTGCCACTTGTGGAAGCTAAAATAAATTTCAATGAAAATAATAAACAAAATTTTTCTAAATAGAATATTAAAACATACTGCATGAATACGTTCTAATACACGTTCAAATACATGTGGTGTATGTCGTGTTGATGTTGTTAAAAAAATACCAAGACCAGGTGTAACTGTAAAAACAAGATTATCCATTGGTCTTTTAAGAAACATATTTTCATCTGTTTCATCAATAAATGGTAAAGGATTTTCATCATCATTATGATTATTATTTATTGATAATGATGATGAATGTATATTTATTATTGATTTATTTTTAATATCATCATCTTCATCACTACTTGCTGTTTGATAATCAATTAATAAACTTCTTGATCGTTTAAATTCTTCATGTTTATTTATTTCACTTAATTGATTAGTTTCATTTATAAATCCAAGACGTATTGGTAAATCAGGAAGTGTTGTTGTTCGTGCATAACAATTAAGATATTGTCGAAGTAATGTTTGACCATAATACCAAGAAAAACCAATAATAAAAAAAATTATAGCAATTAATAAAGCTACCCAAGCACCTATATATATATAATCAAAAAAAAAATCAAATTGAAATAAAAACAAAAAAAAATTAACCTTCAAAAAATTTAATTATATTTGCTGAAAGAAAAGTAATATCAAAAATAAGAAATATTCCAAAAAGAATCACACGTATCCAATGATTATTCCATACATAACGCATAACAAACATATAAAGTATTGATGTTATTAACATATCTGAACATACTGTAACACCATCTAAATAGAAAATTAATTTAAAAATAACAAAAATTTCATGTTTTTCTTCTTCTTCTTACAAGCATGTGCTAAATGATCACTACTACGAAAATAGAGTGTAATAGTTAATGTTATTAACATAATTATCCAATTGATAGCCTAAAAAAAAAAACAAAAAAGCAAATTTCTATTTTGTTATTTTCAAAATTATTCGTACAGGTACATAAATTTGTCCAATAACTTTTTTACTTGTATGTATAACACGTAATGGTGGTGAATAACCAAGTGATGCTGCTTGACTTATTAATGAAAAAACACCAGTAATTATTGCTTGAGAAGCAATAACTAAATATATATATATATCATAAAAATTTTTGACTTATAAAATAATTTATTTACTTGTAGCCATTGTTGCAAGAATAATTAATGGCCATCGAAACCATGATGGACCAGCATTATAAAATGGATTTTTAATTAATTCAGGATGTTGCATTATTAATGCACCTTGACCAAGATAATTAAACATTACTGATGGTAATACAATACATAACCAACTAGTTCGAATTGGCCATCGACCAAAATGACCTATAATATAATACGTTTATTATTGTTGTAAATTTAATATTCATACCTAAATCAGCATAAAGTGCTTCAAGACCTGTTACTGATAGAAAAACTCCACCTAAGATAAATAAAAAATATATTTGAATAGAAAATTTTTTGAATTGTTTTTTTTTTTTACCAATTTGTATAAATCCTTTTTGTTTTTCTCGAATTAAATAACTTATTGCTTCCCATGGATTAAATGCTCGAAGTATAGCTGGATCAAATGTAATACGCCATATACCAATTGAAAATAGAACAATAAACCAAATAATCATAATTGGTGCAAATGTTAAACCTATACTCACATATTAAGAAATATCTTTTGCAATGAAAAAAAATTCTTTACCAATTTTTGATGAACCAAACATTTGTACAAAAAAAAGAATTATAATTATTAATATTGTTACTGGTAATATCCATTTTGTTAATGATTCAGAAGTTGTTGCTAAACCTTCAATAGCTGATAGAACACTAATAGCTGGTGTAAGTGCACCATCACCTTAAATTAATTAAGATATATATATTTAATATATGAAAAAGATCAAACTATAATTTTACCAATTAAAAGTGAAGCAGCAAATATTGAAACAATACTAATAATATGTTTAGCACGTGTACGTAAATGACTATGTTCACCTGTTAATAGACCACATAGAGCAAATGTTCCACCTTCACCACGATTATCAGCCATTAAAATAAAAATACCATATTTTATTGTTACAATTATAATTAAATTCCATATAATTAATGATACAGCACCTATACATTGTTCTCGTGTTGGATGAAGATTTTCAGCAAATATTGTACGAATAACATATAATGGACTTGTACCAATATCACCAAATATAATTCCTAATGAACTTATAGTTAATGATAAATATAAACGTATATTATTATATGATGAAATTTTGACTGTATTTTCAACATTATTTGATAATGATAAAGAATTTTTAGGTTTTTCATGTGTAATGATATTAGTCGTATGACCATTACCTAAAAATTAATTATTCTATTCTTTATTAAATCTTATCGAAAATGATTTATAATAATTTTTAACGTACTTTGAACCATTGTATTTAATAGAAGAAGAATGATATGAAAATAACTAATATCACAATAGAATCAACGTTGAATATCTAACGCTAAAGAAGAAAAAATATATCACGTTGTGAAAAGAGAACGATAAAACAACAAAAACGGATCGAGGAAAAATAACGTTGGCATGTAATCGAGCTTTCAAATATTCATTTATTTAATATCTAACCTAAAATGTAGACAACATGCAAGATGATAATACATGAAAACAACTATAATATATACCTAAACATTATCTTAGAAGTATAAAAATTAATTTGAAAACACAAGAAATGTTTACACAAAGATTATGATTTACATTCTCTACCAATACGAAATTTGTTTATTAGAATTTTATCGAATAAAATTATTTGCGTCTATATAAACAATGTTCGAAATAATAGTTAAATATCGTAAAAAAAAATTGTATTTTAATCGAGAAAGGAATAGCTAATTTTTTATTTTTAATCAATTTTACAGTAAAAAAAAATCATTTTAATCAAAAAAAAACGATTATAGTCTTCTTTGTTGTTCAGAACTAAAAATTTTTAAATACACGAAGTGGTGAATTCAAGAAATTTCGCAGAGAATGCGAATGGATACTAGTTTTTATGTTGAATAACTTCGTTCGCATGTAGACATTGATTATTTCAATGTTACTTTAACAATGCTCATTATTTGAACGTGGTCAGAAAGAAAAGGGAAAGTACTTTTGATCATCAAATTTTTCCGAATGATAATTTTTCATGTTTTCTTATGGAATACTTCGACAACACATATATAACATTTCATTCATATTCAGAACTTTTTCTTAAAAATATTGTGAAATTTATTCTTCTGTTTTCCAATAGCGTTTTTAGTGTAAATCCACTTTTCATTCATCAAGATCTTACTTATCGTTATTGATTAGTATATATATATCGATGAAGATCTTCTTTTCAATACTTATCATCCATAAGATGAAGTCAGAAGAATTTAATTTTTGTGTCAACATATAGTTTCTCTATGTAAACAATAAATAGATTATATTTATTAAATTATTTCAAACACACAAATGAACTTATAGTTCCTATTATTATCATTTGTTTTTATTCGATCACGCAGGAATATGTTTCATTTAGTATTCTATATCATTCATACTTTTGAGGCATGATTACGATCATGACAAAAAAAGAGCTTATGCGTAGTAATGTATAAGAAAATTATGTTATTATATTTAACACATTTATTAGAAAAAAATAATTTACTGAAACATTCTGTACGATGGAAGAAACAAAAAAGAAAATCTCGAATAATCTATGCCAATGAAAAAAAAAGTTATTAAATCAAAGAAAAGGATAGAATAATTGAAATTTATATTTAGACAAAATGCTACTCAACATAAAATAATGCATCGATATCACCATATTTGTAGCTCAGACATAAAGCATATTATGTCTTTATTGGATAGCATGTGTTTTAGATGTTTTTGATCGAGTTGAAGGATCTATAGGTGTATCGGTTTTATTTTATTTCTCACCCACACACAATCAACGGTTAGAATTTTTATTTTATTCTTATGAACTTTGTTATTACAATCGAATATTGTTAAAATCTTGTTGTAAAATTGTTTATTTTTGATCGTTGATTGTTTAAATATCAATTGAAATTGAAACTGTTGAACTATTAAGAATGACAATTGGATATAGCTGATCGATTCGTAAATTTTTAGGTAAATAAAAAGCCCATTGATCTTCGGTTTGATCGTCAATACGAAATGCTAAACAACGAGAGTGTATATCAAATAATACGTCCACATGCGAAGTTCGATTGGCATTGTCTTTTGATAGCAAAGAAATTGGTCTTATTGGCCAAGTGTACTGGCGAGGACTAAAATTAGAATGTTGTATAGAACCACTACCGACGTTGAGAAGCCAAGTATCATCTGATGACGCAATATTAGACCATTGTTTATTATTAGGTTGATAAACAACACCAATCAAAATCTTGTCAGATTTCAAGGAACCAGAAAGGTGGAGATTAAATCGGATCGATTGATAGCGTTTATTGTTAGAAGGAAAAAAACTTTGATTTGTAATAACAATGGCTTCTTTAGAAGATGTTTCCGTAGTAAATTCAGTTGTTGGCATCCTCCGAACGCCGAAGCTACTGCCAAAATAGGCTTGTGTGTCTTGAATGGCTCTTTCTTGATTGTTATGGGTTTGACAACGTATCGTACAATCATTATCAGAAAGATAGACATGATCAGTAGGTGAAAGATTTTGAAATTTAAATTCGTTTTCCCAAATAGATGTTAGCTTTGTTGCATGATCAAAACGATCATTTGCATTCCATTCTAGTTGTTCAAGTCTTCGCGTATGCTCATTAATGATATTTTCCAATCGAGTAATATCATCGAGTTGAACACTTTCCAGTTGAAATTCCATATTAAATTGACGTGACACTCGTCCAAAACCAACAGTAAGTGTCACATTTAGTAATAGTTTAGTTTCCTGTTCTATTAGTTTAAGACTTTTATTTGAACATATTCCATCATTTTCGATCAATTCATGAAGTAATTCAAATAAATGTTGACATGTTTCACAAATATTCTGTGTAATATTATTGACATCATCTTGATCCATCTCAGTTCGATAGACTTTTTTTGTTTGACAATGTTCAGCACCAATAGTTAATTTTGATTGAAGAATACGAATATTAATTTTATATGATGAAATAAAGCCTTCGCATGAGTTTTGCTCTTGGCTTGCCATTGATAAACTAAAATGAAAAGAACAACACCAAGACAAAGTCTTGTCATTGGTTTTTTTTTAATTCTTATCTAATGTATAGATATCTGTGTGCCTATTGTAAAAAGTTTAACATAGGAATACCAGGAATTGATTTACTTTTTAAACGGACACGATATAAAATTACACTTTAAATTATTACAAAAAAAAAAAATCATTTTTATAAGGAGTCCAATACAATTATCTATTGGGTGAATATAAATGGGCGATAGAGCAGAGAACATTCACACTCATCATCATTATTGGATTAATTCTTGGAGTCCATCCAAGAGTAGTTCTTTATTATTTTTTTTATATGAGTTTATCAAAACAAAATTATGAAATATTTTATAGAGAGAGAGTGACTATTTCTCTACAAAAGTAATCCGATCATCAACATTTTATTATTGTTTTTGTTTTTCATGCGATAGCTTGATAGTACATAATAAATACTCTGATAAATGAGTCATTCGTACACCTCTGTCAGAGTTTTATCGTCAACGTAGCTCAAGTTACAAGACAAGCAGTGGCATCTATTCAATGAAATTACTTTTTTCGTTTGTTTCTCTGAATAAGATATTCCAAAATGTCTTCTGGACAGAAAAAATAATGGAGAACTGCTTTTGGACGAACTCGAAGAACATATTCAATAATGGTAAATATGATATTCTATTGTATCCTACCGAATAATGATTAAGTAAAACAACTGAGAATCGCAATTGATAAAGAAAATTAAATCATCAATCCTTCGATTAAAAACCAAATGTGTTAACCATTTGCATTACAAGAAAATCAGAAAAGAATATCGAAAAGATCTTTGGATAAAATAGATCGAACGAGAAAAGTTCTTTTTGAAAACTTAAAGCAGATCTTTTTTTATTTATTCGAATACATAGGTTGGTACTTTTTGAAGAAAAGGATTATTTCTTAATTTGATTGATATAATCGATATGTAGAAAAACTTATCCATGAAGTAAATTAATGCAAAAGTTTATGGAAGTAGAATACAACAACAAGTATGCATGAGCGAGGCTACAAGTGTGAGAGAAGTGAATTCTAATATACACACCTTACACCTACATCCACATCCGATATCATCAGGAATCACTGTCGATTTTTTGTATTTCAATCAAACGAACATAGTGATTCCTGATAATATTTCAAACTTTTACTTCAAAATATCACTGGATCAATTTTTCAACCCCTAGATTGAGAGATGTTGCGAAATAAACTTTTGTAATATTACTAGCAATTACTATTAATTGGATTTTGATATAGGAACTCGAAATATTTTGAAAAGCGAGTAAATAGTCATAAACGCCGTCGTCCATTTTAAAGCAACTTAATCTTAAAACAATGCTAACTGTAATAAGCATTAGTTATATACTCTGCAAAAGTTTTCTGCAAGAAGAATAGATTTTTCAATAAAGATTGAAAAAAGATCTTTACACTTGAAAAAGAAAATTTGACAAATATACGCTGATAACATAATTAATGTTATTTTTTCGAATTTCTAAATTTAAGAGTATAAATGAATGCATTATATCCTCAGTATTTATCCTAACTAAATTGATTAGTTTGATATTAACGTTGCAGTCGAGATATTGCTTGCTGAATGTGTACAATCATTGGGTGTGTTTGTGGTAGACATTTCACACCATTATTCAATGCTTGTTGATAGTATAATAATGTCGACTGATTTCGTTGATTTTCGAGAATTTTATCAATCATTGTATATGTTATGGCTAGATTATGGTGATTCGGTTGATGAGTAGCTAGTAGAATTTCTAAAGCTTGTTGTAAAATAGAATATGCTTCATCAAATTGACCTTGTTGAATATGAACAGAAGCGATACCCCAAAGGATAAGGGCATTGCTTGAATGATTTGATGCTACATGCTGATGAGAACATTTTTGCCGTCTGATAACTTACCAAGGCATCTGGCCAATCACGTTTTTCGAAGAATTTCTGTGCATTAATCAAATGCACAAAAGTTTGCATATGATGATTAGTTGATAATGAGTTTGCCAAGATTCGTTCATTTTCGTTTATATATGATGATGCCTTATCTAACCGATTTTCGTTATAAGGGAGAAGATTTCTACTCAGCATACATTTTGCAGTAAATGGATGAGGACGCGGGAAACATTGCATGGAAATTTCGATTCCCAATTGATAATAAGTTAGAGCTTTATTTTTATTGTCTAGATTCGCATGAATCTGACCAATAACATGGTAATAATTTGCAAGTTTGTCTTCCATCAGTTGAAGATCATATTGATGGATTAATATTGATTTGTAAGAGGACTGATGTCATGTTAGCATCAATATTTGATAATACACCAGCAAATATTTCAGCAAGATCTTGATTACGAGTAGTTGATAAAAAGCTATTAATCGATAATAAACCGTCTTTTTTTATCTTAATTTTTTCAAATTCTTGTGTTCGGATTAATTGACTTCGATAGAATATTAATGTGTCAGTTTAGTATGAATTTACATGAAGTTGAATAAGCTGTTGTTGAAACTATTGAAAAACTTTCATAATAATCAGGTGTTCACCTTCGAGAGGTCCGTTGTCAGCAAAAATTGTCTTTTCGGACTCGTGAAAAACGCTAACAATAACGAGTTTTTCACTATAGAGAGGTGCTCACTAGTAGAGATTTTACTGTATTATTTTTTATTATTATTACTGGGTAATAATAATAATATGGCCTCTACGAGTTACTAGTTTTAATACTATATTACATGATAACACTTTTACTTTTTTTACTGTTGTTACTTTTGCAGATTATTTCTAATTACCTACAATAATTAATAACCTTATATGCTATTACTTACTACCAGTAATAGTAATGTAGCCCCTAATCGATAAAGAAACAAACGAGAAAAGAAAAATCCAAGAATCATTAACAGATTAATTTGGAATGTCTTTTACATTTGTTGTTCAGTGAAAAAATAAAAAACAATTACTGAGAAGTTTTCGACATGTACTATGTCCAAGGAATCGAAAATTGAGGATCATTGAAATATGTTTTCATGGATGATATTATGCTTTTACGTAGTCGATCTTTCGAACGATACAGCCAAAAGGTTATCAATATGAGTTTTTCTCTTGAATCTTGTTTTTAATATATGTAGCAACTGTTATCTTTCTTTTTTTTTGTTTGTTAAGCTGAAGAGTAAAGTTTCTCTAATATGTAATACCAAAAGTTCATCAAAGGTGATCATGATTTTGACTCCGACGAAATCGGAGTTGGAATCGAGTTTCGGAGTACGCTGCAGGTCTCTAATCACAACTCACATCCACATCCCTATTGTGAGTCTTCTCTATCAATGTCTTGATGGTGGATAAATTTTTTCCAGTGTTAAATTCACTCGATAAATCTATGAATGAAAAATCATGTTCCGGAATTTCTTCATATCGAGTATTGAATTCTTTGTGAGCCTATTTGATTATTATCGCATTGGTTGATGTAACGCCACGATTGGTTTAGATGAACATCTGCGAGAACATAAGCCACTTGTTTACAAAATCATTTCGATGCAGGTGTGAGTGTTGAGATACAAGATAGCCACACCCAAAACACACTGACACTCACAGTCAATCGGTGCGGTATTTGGCATTGATCGATAGAAAAACATTTTAATACATAAGAAAATTTTCTAGATTTTGATAGAGAGAAAAATTCTACACAGAATGGATATTCGTTTTATGAATCTAAATCGAATTTTCATGGTTAAGGGTATGCGTTGTTGTGCTCATGAGTAGATACCCCACACCCTCACATCCAGATATTTACAATTACAGATTAATAATAAAAATTCACAGAATATAGGAAAATATATCGCTGATAGTACTTAAGTCTATTCAATCCAAGGGATTTGATTTTTTTAGACCAAATCTAAACCAAGTCCAAAAATCTATATCAAATTCAACTCCGAATTCAAATATAGGATATTGAATCCAAATCTTCTGATATCAAATGTCAACGCTTCGGATTTGTTGCATCCCTAGAATAGTCGAATTAGTAGATTATTTTTTCAACCTATTTAGAAATTTTAATCGATTGCAGTTTGATTCTCTTATACAAAAGGTGTGGTTATCATAGGGAAAAAGAAGTTTCTAAATTAGTAATCAAAAAAACTTCTGATTGTGTTAGGTGTGTCTTTCACTAGGTTTCACCAACGTTAAGAAACTGAGCATGACCAAATAGACAAATTTTCTTTTCACGACGGCTAGTAAAAGCTTCATTCTTCATAGTCTGTGTCCTAATAAAGATAAGGGAACAGTTTTTATATCAGAAATGGTTCACTAATTTCAGTGTTTACTAGGAATATTATGGTACGTTAACCGATAATATAATTATATAGGTGATGACCTAAGAGACAAAAAATAGTTTGCATCAATAATGAAATTACTGGAATGAAGAGCAATTACAATCAACATATTCGTTTTATGCAATTTATCAGAAGAATCTCTCTGTCACCTCTACAATATATATAACCGGTCTGATTTTCGTATCACTTAACGAGATTCAATGACTAGAGAACAGAAACTGATATGAAGATGTTTGCCTTAAGCATACAAATATTCAATAATAATTTGATAATACACTTGCAAATAGCTTAATTTTCTAATTTTTCTTCGATAGCACTCAATCCTTTTACTGATCGCTTTATTTAGATAGACAATGATGATGAAATTCAACATTAAAATATAATTGTCGTATATAAATGATAATAGAATCACTTCATATTCAACACTACTGTCTTGTCAATACCACTAATATATCCAGTTTGTTCAATTAATGGTAAAACACGATATTGAAATGAAAACTTATTCGATAGATCAATTACAATGATGTTTTGTTTTTGAATGAAATACATGGTTTGTGTCTCAGTTGAAAATGCCCAATCCATAAAACTATTAAAATTTGGAATTGGTAAGAATAAATCCCATTGAGCATTCTCCCAGTTGAGT